ATGTCTTATGCCCTAGTATCCTGTGTGCCAACCCACAAAAGTTGTGGTTCAACCGTGAACCTGATCAAAGCAAGCAGCAACACAACATTTGTGGGTTGGCCCACAAGATACTGGGGCATAGTACGTAATAGACTTGGTATTAGGGATAGAAACAAGATATAGGCAAAGGAGACTTGAGCTAGTTGGGTGACAGTAGGCCTGTTTTACCATAGGCGTGGTCCATGAAGCAGATGCTTGACCATCATAATTACTCAGGATCTTTACCCTCAAGTTAGTCCAGCAGACGTAGAGTGTGGGAAATAACACATCGGGGAGCAGAGATGGGGTGGCAGGGGTCGAGTGAAATACTTGAACCAGAGAGATAGCAGACGGATTCTACGCAGCAAGAGGGAGACTGTGATAAGACCTATGGAAGGAGGACTGCGTAACAATAGGGCAGACTCTGATCCCCATTCCCAGCACAAAAGGGAAGGGAGGTGAGAACGCCAGCGTGGAGTGTGGAGAGTTCTCATGACGGCTTCTCAAAAGGGCACACCACACTGGACTTAACAAGCAAGAAAAATATTGTGCTAATGAACGCGTGATACGATGATATAGAAGAGGGGAATAGCCCATGACAGGAGAGATACCACAACTGTTTAGCCCACATTTGGTCAAAGGATCGGCTTCACTTGTCTCTTTGACGAGTTGTTGAGTGGTGCTAAGAATGACGAGACTCACCGACTATGCCGACTACGATGCCGACGAAACATCTGGGAATTTACCACGTCCACTGTCAGACTTTGGAAATTATCATGTATGCAATGCACTCCGGACTAGGTGCGTTCCTCTAAGTCTTCCGACAAATATGACGAAGCTGCGAAAACAAGGTCAAAAAATTACAAGATTAAGTTAATTCACGTATACTCGAGTGTGTTTGTGTATTAAGGTCGGTACGAAAAATCGGTACGTCGGTTAAGTCTTAATGACCCAAGATTGCGTTAGTCCACGAGTAACTCTGGTTGAATTGATGAGATATACAACTTCATGCGGGAGAGTCATTTACTATAACTGATTTATTAGTAGTCTCGAACCTCCGATTAGAAACGAAAAATAGCTAATTTAATCGACTGTCATAGCAAATATAACTTTGCTTGATCAACAATTCCATTAAAGAATATGATATTGGAAAATGCCTGGCCTTCCTTTAAATTCACATCTGCCCTTCGACCCAAGGGCACTCGTGGCAATGTGACGTTAAACGCTGCTCTGCCATGGTTCGAGTCCCGCTGGGGGTGCTGGCAAGACCTAGGCGAGGTCAAAATACTATTCACTTCAGCCTGGATTAGCGCACCTTTTGGGAAGGCAAGGCATTGCGAAATTCAATGAAAACGTAAACTCTACCAACATCATATGGTAAATACATTAACTGTATCAACCAGAAAGTTGTATCAAAGCCAAGCGGCTGCAGTACAACGCGAAACAGCCGTCTGTTGTGGTGAGATCAGCTCACGATTCTCTTCATCATCATGCACTTTATTACAAAATGGAATTCTCCACACAGAAAAATACTAGACATTCCAATAGCATCGCCTGACCTTTATATTACGAATCACCAGGTTGTTGTTAACAATACTGAACTTGGGCGAATCTATTGGTAGTGGATGACCATTCTTCGTCCACATCACTGTGGCGACCGGCTTTGCGTCTTGTACTGTGCACAGCAGAGTCTTAGATGGCTCGCCAGCCAACGCTGTGGCTCTCGGATTTGGTATGATTACCGGAGCTCCTGAATCGCGAAAATGGAGAGAAAAGAATTTATGCCGACATATACATTTAGCTATCACCATTTAATGGCTATGGCCAGATTAAATCGCCTAATGAAGATGTTTGCACAGAAAGCATCAATTGTTAACTGGGGCTAGTTGCACTCGGCGTCTTGGCTGGAAAAATTGTTTTACCGATCTGCAATCTCAGGTTTCAACTGATCTCAAGAGGCCGGCATTCGTGAAGAAAAATAGGCCTAATTATACAATTTATCATAGTTTCGTCCACCAATTTGTTGGATGGAGCTAATTTTCCCCATTACGGCAACTGTTCTGACCCGACCTAGCAGCACGAGTCAAGCGTCATCCGTATAAGGAGCGGCATTCCTCGTGGATAAAAGGGAAAAAAGCACATTAAGGCAGACTCAAATGGGCCTTAAAGAGTTCAGCGATGACGGGAAGAGCAGGAAAAAAGAGTGAGTAAATTGAACTCGGAATAAAAGGCAGGGATAAATCGGGCCACTTACGTATTCCTCCTATCTCCACGTCGACACTGTGCGTCGCCTTTCCAAATGAGTTGGAGGCCTCGCAAACGAACCTTCCGGCATCCTCCATGTTGACGCCTGTAAGATAG